TTTTTTAAAATCCAATGTGTGGATCACATAATATTTCAAAAAATTTAACTTTTGAGTATAGATGATCCGCACTGTATAACAAATCTCTGGAGCCTTTTAAGTTTTAGGAATAGCTATAATCAAGAAGAGCTTTATAATGGATTTTATTGATGAAATACCAGGGTTACCAGGATGAGAGTGGTTTTTAACCAAAAAGTCCCATATAATGGGAAGGGCTTAATTTGGCCTGAAACTCGAGTTTGCCAAAGAATCCCAAGATATACCATGCATTATGAATGGCAGATACAGCTGATTAACAAAATTTATATATACCGGAAAAGGCTTTAGCATAAAATCAGCTGGAACTTGTTAACCAAAAAATTTCAAAAGTAAAATTACCCTGTTTGTTTTCCATTGCTATTGCTGGTGCACCAATATTCTCTAAACTTTTTACTCCACTTTACATTCTTTTAAAAACCTATATACCTACACAAACTATCAACACTAGTCATATATACTGGATAGTACTCTTAATATTAAAATGACCCTCCTGGTCAGGAAGATTTAACGAAATAATTGGTCGTGAATTATATGTTTTACATTTGTTAATTATCCTTGTTCATCGCTATATAATATACATAAATATTTTTTATTATTTAAATAAATTTTATCAAATGTACTCGTGTTGGTTAAAGTTGTGCGTGATTATTCACATCTGCGTGCAAAGTAATTGATATGCATGCATGTGATGAGTAAGACAGAAAAAACATATTGCGTAATCGTTTTTTTTTCTTCACGCTTTACTTACTATTACTTTGAAACAAATTACTTTTGTATGAAAAAGTAAAATTAATTAATAATATATAAATAAAAAATGTCTACTCTTGAAGATAAACTCCTTTGGGAAAAAGCTGACGAAGAAGGTTTGGAAGAGCTTGGTCAAGAAATTTTAAGATCTAGTACCGAAGATATTAATAATCGCACACGTTTACTTGACAATGAAATGAAGGTTATTATTACCATAGTTATTATTATCATGACCATGCTCAGAATTTAATTGATTGATTGATTTTATTATTGATTTATTGATTTGTTGGACGATTTATTGATAATTTTAATCTTAGAAATGTTTGCTTGCATATGTTTTTTTTATCATTAACAACATAATCATTTGATTAATTAGATGCTAAAGTCGGAACATGTACGTCTAACACATGAACAAACTAGTATGAGAGAAAAGATAAAAGATAATAAAGAAAAGATAAAAGTTAATAAACAATTACCATGGCTTGTTGGTAATATTGTTGAGGTTAGTTTGATTTTGTTTTGACTATTTAGATCTATTGGAAACATTTTGATTTATAGTAGTTAATCATTAGTACAAGTATTAATCAAAGATAATAATAAACCATTATTATTATAATTAATGATCAGTTGCTTGATATGGATCCAAATGATGAGCCAGAAGAAGATGGTGCAAATATAGATCTTGATGCACACCGTAAAGGAAAATGTGCTGTGATTAAGACATCTACACGACAAGTAAACTTTACTTTCTTTAGACTAATTTTCATTACTATTACATTATCCATTATTATAATTAAAATATTTTGTTTTAGACTATTTTCTTGCCTTTGATTGGTCTTGTTGATCCTGCTACTATCAAGCCAGGTGACTTGATTGGTGTAAATAAAGATAGTTATCTAGTATTGGACACATTACCAGCAGAGTAAATTTATTTATTAATTCATTTTATTTGCATTTAAAAAAAAAGTAGTAATAAATTATTATTTTATTTATAGGTATGATTCTCGTGTTAAAGCTATGGAAGTTGATGAGAAACCAACAGAAGATTATAATGATATTGGTGGTCTTGATAAACAAATTGAAGAATTGGTAGAAGCTATAGTTTTACCAATGACACATGCAGAAAGATTTAAAAATTTGGGTATAAAACCACCAAAAGGTAATCATTATTAGAAAAGATTAATAATATTAATAATGATAATAATAAATCAGTAGATTAATACTCTTGAATTGATTCAATTAGGTGTTCTTATGTATGGTCCTCCTGGCACTGGTAAAACGTTGCTGGCAAGAGCTTGTGCAGCACAAACTAATTCTACATATTTAAAATTAGCTGGTCCACAACTCGTACAAGTAAATAAATAGAAGGATTCATAATAATTAAATTAAAGAGTTATAATAATACTCAACATTTTATTTATTTTTATTGCTACTATTATTAATATTGTCATTAGATGTTTATTGGTGATGGTGCTAAACTTGTACGTGATGCTTTTAATTTGGCCAAAGAAAAAGCACCTGCTATCATTTTTATTGATGAATTAGATGCTATAGGGACAAAAAGATTTGATAGTGAGAAAAGTGGTGATCGTGAAGTACAAAGAACTATGTTAGAATTGTTAAATCAACTTGATGGTTTTAGCAGTGATGAAAGAATTAAGGTTTTATATTATTATTATTATTTTGTCAAAAAAAATTATCCAAGACAATATATATAATATATTGAATATTTATTTATTTAACTGTTAGGTAATTGCTGCTACAAATCGTATTGATATTTTGGATCCTGCACTTTTACGATCAGGTCGTCTTGATCGTAAAATAGAGTTCCCCTTACCAAATGAAGAAGCCCGTGCTCGAATTCTTCAAATTCATTCACGTAAAATGACTGTCGGTAGTGATGTAAATTTTGATGAATTGGCACGTTGTTGTGATGAATTTAATGGTGCTCAGTGTAAGGCTGTATGTGTTGAAGCTGGTATGTTGGCTTTAAGAAGAGGTGCTACTGAATTGAGTCATGAGGATTTCATGGATGGTAATTAATTATCTTTTTATAAAAGTTTTTTAATTATTATTAATATTGTGTTAATATAATTGATCTTTATTATTTTTATTATATAGGCATTCAAGAAGTTATGGCTAAAAAGAAAACTTCTTTACAATATTATGCATAAACACTGCTACTACTACATTTATTATTATTACTTACTATTTATAATAGATTAAATTACACATACTTTTATATATATTTTTGTTTTTATATTAATTAAAAATATTATTAAATATCAATTTTTCAATTTCATGATTAATAAACAAATAATGACAATGACGATACAAGTGGGAATATTGAAATCAGAAATCATTGATTCTTTCTTTAGAAGAGATTGAAAAATATATATAATCAATACTTAAAAAGCTGCGATTTACATTTAATTAATACTTTGAATTGTTCCAAATATTCTATAAGATTTTTTTTTTTTGAAATAGATTATCTGATGATGAATGATATTTATTATATATATACATTAACATAATGATAAAACAATTCTTTGAAAATCAAAAACATTTCAAAAAAATTAATAATAATAATCAACTATATATTTGCTACTTTGTAGCTTCATCAAGAATACAATTTTTTACAATACAAATAGAATGTCTAATTTTCTTTAACGGACAATACATTAATATAATTTTTTTCTATAATATGTACTTGTTGAATTTATTTATGCAGTGAGTGACAAGGTTTTATATTTTAATTAACTTAATTGAGTAATTCATCTGGTACAGTTAATTCAACCCGGTTGAGAATCTAAAAAAACATTTATCATAAGAATGAATGTTATTAATAAATATTGTTAATTTTAAAAATTAATAAAAATGAAATAATCAATAATTTAATGTTATTAATTACCATCATTATTGTCACTTTATTGGAATTCATAGGTTCGGGAAGGCTTGTAAATTTTAATGATTTGCTAGTATAAGCAAGCATTTGGATGAATTGTTGTAGTAATTGTCAAAAGATCAAATTTTTTTTCATCCATTTCATCAAAAACTTTTCTAATTGATTTTAATTCATCGTGCTCTTCTTTTGAATATCCCCATTTTTATTGCATTATCATCAAATGAATTATGCCAAAGAAAAATGATCCCGAAATTTTTGAACTAAAATAACAAATAAAATATTTAATTATAACAATAATATCTGGAAATTAACATTAATAAAATAATTACCTCATTAAGAAATTCATCAGAAATATTTGTGAAATATTTAGTTTTTTTAATGTCACAGTCATATCTTTACAAGTATTTTTTTATTAAAATGATTTATATTCTTAATCAAAGTAGCTTTGTATATATATAGTTGCAAAACCATCTTCTTGTTAAGTCATTACAAGGAATCCATTGAAGATAAAAATAATTATCAAATGTAGTTGTGTGCTTCTAATCAACTCATTTAATGTTTCATTGCCACTAGTCCATCCTTCAGCCAATAGTGCCCAATATAAGTATTATATCCATTGCAAAGAAAAATAGGAATGAAAAAAAAATTTGATCTACGTAATTTTTATTCCAAAAAAAAAAAAAATATAGTAATAGTGCAAGTCACAGTCCCGCAACTTTTTATTGGTCATGTAGGCCAAAAAAGTTTATCAAAAATAGACGAATTGAAACAAAATAAAAATTTGAATATTGCGGATCTTTTGTCACGTAAATTTTCCAGACGAACGGGAAGATAATTAATTATCTTTATCATTAAAAAAATTCAAAGTTCATTTATTATAATTTAATAAATAGATTATTGCATTGATTAAAGAATGTGCAAAATATACTGCTATCTCCCACCTAGCACCAAAAGTATATATTTTATGGAAGTATATATATACATTTTATTTCTATTGCTAATGATTTTAAGTTTAACTATATATATATAGATAAAAAATGGTATCATCAATCAACACAGCTATAATCAACTGTCTTGCATTGATCAAGAAATGCGCAAATGATGTAATTATTAATATAATAAATTATTTTGTGGACAAGTAGTCTAATTTATCACTATATAAAACATATAAATAGACCCACTATTCCCACTTAGCACCAAAAATATATTTTGCGGGAATACACTTTGTTTATATTACTTATATCAATATTTTTATTTCAAATTTAACTAGATAACAAATGGTACCATCAATCAATCAACAGTCTTGCATTGATTAAAAAACATGCAAATGATGTAATTATTAATATAATAGACTATTTTTGTGGACAAGAAACATATATATTAAATTGCTATTTTGAAATTTGGCCACATGGCGCAGCCATAGGAGGTCTTTAGACCGAGCCAACCATACAACTTTTCATGCAAATGTATATACTCAATTAGTTGTTTTTGTGTCAATTTTTACTGACTCGCTCATTTGTTCGCGGATCATCAATTAAATTTTCGATTTTTTTTTTTTAACGCGATAACTCGTGACGATTATATAATGTTCCAAAAAAATTTGAAGGAAGGTATTCTTTTTTACATGTGATTTTCAAGGGACCACAGATTAGATAATCTTCAAAGAAAAACAAGAACCGACTTTGTAGACCGAATGAGATACTCGGACCCTGTTAAGGATAATCAAATTAATATTAAATAAATATTTTCTTTCTTGTTTATATATATATATATACTGTATATATCAATTAATATATATATATATACGTGCTAAAATAGATGTTAAAATAAATATCACTTGCATAAATTTTAAGAAAGTCGAGAATGAATGTTCGAGTTTGTTGTACAATGTAGATCACGGTAATTTCATAGAGATGTTTTTTAATTTACTTACACGTTTATAATAAAGGAGATATAAATTAATTATAAATTTGAGAAAACAGAAGTGATTCTGGGAGATTTTGAAGATGTTGAGGAATCACCATTGATGTTTTTGATTTAATCTTGGTCAATGTTTTCAATGCTGTTACTACGATCTTATATATGATACATTATGACTAGAAACAAATATTATTGATAATTAGTCGGTAAATATTAAATTAATGAAAGTTACGTCGTTTCAAATTCCTTCCCATTTCCATTTTCATACTTATTACACACCGTTGTTTTCTCATACTATACTTGCCGCCGGAGTTGCTGAACAAAAGTAATACGGTTACGTATTGCCATCTGTAAAGCCGTAGATTTATAGCTGCAAAGTAAAAGACCATAATCATAACAAATTATCCGTAAACAATTTCTTATTTTCTTTTCTTCCCCAAAAATTGAATAACTAAATAATTAAATAATAAATTTACAAAATCATGGCATTTTCGGAATTACGCATAATTATAATATTACAGGCACGTTATATATAATAATAACAGATTTTAGATAAAATTCCCTTATTAATAGGGGTGTGTTCTGTTCGATCAAAGCTAATTTTTATTGGCTGATCAGAAGGAACAGGAACAGAACAAATTTGTTGCCTTCTGGTATAGTATTTTAGCCCATTCTCCACGTGAGACACTTTTAACTACTTGATGAACTTGTCGTCTGTCTAGATGTTTTTCACATAACTCACATTCATAGGAAAGTGAAATTTCCTTGAGCTGTTTCATGTTTCCGTCCAGGTAAATTTCAAACCTATCCTGATAATCTTTGTTGTGACAATATAGATATTCATCCACTTCATCTGGTTGAGTGTTTTCCTTGTCTTTATCATCATCCCATTGTTCCCTGTAACATGGATTTTCATTTTGCCTTTGAATGTATGCGCAGAGAATTCTTCTCCCAATGGTTATTAGTTCACTGTTGAGGTATGGACAAAGTCATCCGTGGCAGAGATTGAACTGGTCATTTTGATGTCTATGATGCTTCCTTAAGTCTTAAGAGCGTTGGTAACTTATCAATAATGGCGTCTCTGTGATTCCAGAATGCTTGGTTCATTTGATCAATATATTCTTGTTCAATAGAGTATTCTTCTTAATAGTCATTGAATAAATCTGCAGTTCTTTCCATTAGTTAGTCATACTCTTCTCTCAGTCTTTTTGAGCATTAGCCCATGTTTCATTTATGTGATACTGTTGATGATATTCGGTTTCTGCTGGTTTTCCATAAAGTTTGATGTAATAGGCTTCCACAGCCTTTAATACATCCCCTTCATCTTCAGTGCAATTTTTCATTTCAATATAATTTTTGACTTTTTGTTGAATATGTTGGAAGTTGTTCGCCATTATCACAGATAAGTATACATATTTGCAGATATCAGAACAAACATCATTTTGCCAATTGTTGTTAACTCTTATAGTCATTGGTGAATCGCAAACTTTACATGGTGAATTGTACCATGATTCTTGAGTGATATCATAAGATTCAGTTTTGTACAAGAATTACAAAGTTGATAGTATCCCCATTCCCATCCGTCATTAGTATCTGACTGGCTGTGCATCATTGATTGCTCTTTCAGTAATTCAATGCAAGTTTCTCTTTCTTTTTGTGGCCTTGTGGTCAATGCCTTGTTCAAGTAAAATTTTGCATGTAATGAAGTCATTGCTTTAATTGTAGATTCAGTTGATCCAGTTGTAGACAGTATTTCTCTAAGAGTATAAATTGAACTGGTCGTTTATACAATAAATAAGCTTCTGTAAGATTTCTAATTCTGGTACACAATATTTTTATTTACATTTTGATTGATTAATATACATTATTAAAAGAAAGGATCAATGAGTGACTAATTTAATCTCCACTATAGATATATTCATTATCTTTTTATTTCATTTCTAAATTTTTGAATTAATAAACCTTTTACAGTTTCTGGTTCTTGTTGAATGGTGATATTGCAACGTAACCTTTTGATTATGACTTAACTTTGGGCTACCCTTGTCAGTTAATTGCAAGCAACTTACCATAATTTGGTGCTTGTCAATTAATTAGTTTACGAATTTACTTTGGTTCTCACTTACTGCCTCTTGAATTATAAGCATATTAATGGCATCGAATAATTGCAAATAAATAAAATGACTTTTTTACAAAGCTCAAAGGCTTTTATGAAGTTCATTTTATTCACTTGTGACTGATTTATCTATTTGAAGTTTTTGTTGATCTTTTTTTATATAATGAATCGTTTTAAAATTCCGCTTGATTCAATTCGTTCGGAGCCTCAATTGTTTGGAAAGGAAAACCCCAAGCCTTTAAAGGATAGCCTGATTCAACGATAAAACATTATGTTGAAAATGATTGGCTAATTATGTTTCTTTGATTATTTACCGGTGGTTCTACCAAGCCGCGAATGGTGGGGACCGTTGAATCCAGAATACTTACCTCGGTCACATTGCGATCTTGATGCTGCCCTCCTTCAAATATTTTTTGGCAATGGCATAGGATGAAAGAATGCCGAATATTTTTAGAGAAAATAAGTGGTCATTTCTGGTTTACATAGGGAACGGCCAGCTGTAGATTGTTCATCATCATCACTTCTAAAATAAATTTTCGGCAAATAATCTTTTTATTATTGTTAATTATTAATAAAATGATGGAGCTTATTATATTTTAAAAATAAAATATATATAGCCATCCTTAATAATAATATAATAATATAAATCAAAAAAAAAAAAATGATGATGTTTAAATTCATATGATGCCTAGAAATTTCCTTTAACAAAAATGAAATTTTTTCTAGCTTGAAAAAAAAAAGTGTATAAAAAAAAAATAATGTATTGATGTCTTTTTTAAAAAAAAAAAATTTCGTCCTGATACAATCACAATTCCATTTCCTCTTTTTTATTATTAACATCATGATCGTCTTTGATTATGTTAACCTCTTTGATATTTTCTACAATTTCAACATTCATCTCTAAATCCATATCAATCATAGGAGAAGCAGGATTTTCAGGAATAGTTGACAATTTATTATTATTCTCTGTGCTCGTTTTTTCTTTATTCTTTGATGCGGTTTTAGGTCTTGATTCCTTTGATTATTAAAGCATTCATTGATTCATTAATGATAAAGATGTTATTGTTGAAAATTATTTGATCAACTAAATTAAATACTTACTTGATCACTTGATTCATTTGATTCATTTGATTCATTTGATTCAAGAGGTAACCAAGGCGATGGCTGATACAAGACTAATGTTCTAATTGGATTATCACTAAAAGACAATGTTTAAAAAAAAAATTTTTTCATTTAATTGATTAATTAAGTAATATATCTTAAATTTGGCATAATAAGAAAAGCATATAGATAGACAGGATAGATAGATAGTGTTAAACACATTGAATTAACCATTAAAAAATGCGCACGATATAGGAATTAATAATTCTTTAGGTATCTTTTTTATTGATCGTTTTATTTCAAGTGGTAACTTGATCAAATCTTTATTCATTCCATCATCATCATTGTCTTCGTCATGGTCTGAATCTGTAGCTTCAGCATCTAAGTCTGTAACCATTACAACATGTTTTCTTCTTGGTGGTGATGAAGAAACATTTTTGGGATCAATTGGATCTATTTCAATATCCATAATATCAACTTTACAATCTATAATTTAATAATTTAGTTACAATAGAAGAATCTTATTTTCTGTTTAAGGAGAAATACAATTAATGTTAGTTAATAAAACCTTCATCATTCTGTAAGGACAATGCAGTTAATTCTGACGATAAAAACTCCGAGACATAACGTTTCTTGGCTCGTTCAGTTCTCAATTGATCTATTTCTAATTCAGGAGAGTGTTCTCGTTTTCTTGTATGTGATGAGGAGGTGGATGACGAAAAAAAGCTTTGAGCAAATGTGTCCATACTATTATTATTATTATTATTATTATATGATTGTAATACAACGAATAAAAAAAATTAACTTAAATATACGCGTTTAGAATAAATTCCAAGTTTTTACTGTGGAATATTGCAGAAATCAAAAGTTTAAATTAGAGATCATCATCAGACATTATTGCTTTTAATGCTCATTCTATATATTATTTTTTAAAAGCAACTAAAATTTTAAAAAATAAATATTTGGGTAAGTTTAGACAATAAATATTAATATAAAAATTTTAATAAAATAAAAACCATTATATGATTTTCTATAAATTTTAATTTTTTTTTTTATAAAAAAATTGTCTAATACATATATGTAAATAATTATAATAAACAAGAAAAAGAAGAAAAAATTATATTTAATTAGCAATATAATAACAAATCTAAAATCACCATTTTTTAAATCAAAAAATATATAAAGCAATGTAGAGATAAAAAAAAGAAATGTGAATTCTATAAATGAAAATAATATTATTGATGATGATGATGTTGATGATGTTGATGAAAATATTTCTTGGGTAAATAATTAATTACCAAGAGTATTTTCTATATTTATATATTAATATGTATAAATATGAATGTAATATATATATATACATATAATTTTTTTTCAAATTATTATGATAATGATATAAAGTGATTATTCTAAATAATATATTTTTTAAAAAACAATTAATAATTATAATAGAAAATTTGATCTATTGATGAACATTACGTGTGATGGTTTCATAATTGTCACCATTTCTTTTCAAGATGTCCACGACAGGTCCTAATAAACGAACAAAGGCCTTTTTACCCAACGTGGCAACCTTTAATCTACCTTTTGCGCGAATATTAACTGCTCTTGGTTTGTTATTAAGCAAAGCAAGTTCTAAGTTAAGAATAAAAAGAAATAATTTTTTATTAACAATAAATAGTTAATAATTTGTTAGTATAATAAAATAAAACTTCTTTTTTAGTTAATTAAATCTCTTATTTATTTATTAAAAAAATTTACCCCCAAAATAATCCCCTTTTTTCAATCCTGGCAATTCATGTTCAATACCATCATCATCAAATTTTGTTACTCTAGCATCGCCAAATTCTATAAGATAGAAATTATTACCAATATCTCCCTGTTCAATAACTAGTTCGCCGTCTTCATAATATAAAGATTCTAATGCATCAGCAATTTTATGTCTTTCGTAAGATTCCAGTGACATAAGAAGTGGAACTTCCTCAAGGAATGATTCATACATTCGTCGTTTACGAGAAGTGTTTTCCATTAAAATTCTACGAAATGTCACTCTATCAAGTGCCCAAAGAACCGAATCTGAAGTAGCAATAACTGTGGCAGCTCGTGGTGCGTTATACATTAATGCCAATTCACCAAAACTACCACCTGGACCATATTGAGTTACTTGCTCTGGCGGTGCACCACATTTTGAAACATAAACATCGAAACTACCAATCTCCACAACATAGAAAAAATCTCCAATTCCACCTTGTTTAATAATTTCTTCGCCTCTATAAACTCTTTTTTCCGCCATGGCATCAATGACATCTTTATATTGTTCTTCATCAAGATTTTTAAATAAAAAATTATTAGCAATTGATGCCTCTATTCTTTGTCTTTGTTGTTCTGCTTTTGGAACGACAATCTTGACATAATCTTTGTCTTCACTAGGAGCCATCGATTCAGCACTAACCGATGTTCGTCGACCTCTATTATAATTTATTGGAATTGCTGGAAGATCACTTGGTTCATCGTCATACATTTCTTCATCACTGTCTGGAAAATAATCAGTAGTAGGTGTACTTGCAATTGATGTTTTTGCAGAATGGAAGTCTGGTGAGCCAGTTGTCTCCTTCAACTCTGGATCTGGTAAATCGGTTATCCACTGCGAGTTTTCTGATTGTGATTCTTGTAAAATATTTTGTATTGTGGATGACATGGTGTGTATAGGTAAATAATCCTTTTTTTTTAGATCTTAAATAATAAATAACGAACAAATAAATAAATAAATAATATTAATGTGTATGTATACTATATGTATGGTATTATTTATTATTTTTTTAAATGTTTTTGGTTTTGTACATTGAAAAAAGGTTGGAAAAAAAATTTTGTGTATTTATTTTTTTCCAACAAAGTGTATGTATATGATGTCACAAAATTTTATAAATCTGCGCCATTACAATTAAACAAAGTACATATTGTATTTATTGTATTCAAAAAAAAACCCCCATTTTGTGTATATAAAAATAAAAGATTTACAACTAATTTTTTTTTATATCTATTACCTGGTAGATTTCATACTCTAATAACTGGATATATTCATCATATATATTCAAAACCTTTCCATATATATTACCATTATAATGTTGAAAATTGAAATAAGCCTCACCACAATCATTAATGAAAACGTTAAACATATTGAAATCAATAAATTCATCATTAGATTGACGATTGCCAACATGACGGATTGAATATTCAGGTAATTTAACTCTGCTCAACATTAAATCTTCTGATAGGTCTTTGCCAATTTGAAAAACAAAACTTTTATCTGCTTTAATGTAATAACATTCCTCTGGAGATTTTTCTTTTAAATTCCAACAGACAGGGTTATAACCACCAATTAACACCCCAGAATTTTCAAGCTTCATAATAGCTACAGTGTTTTCTATATCATAACATCTTTCCTGGAACACAGATCTTGAAAAACCATCTCGACTTCCACTGAGAAGTAGTTTAAATTCATATGGTAAATTCTTTTCAGTATAGACTTTTTTATCATAACCATTAATCCAGCTTGATATTAAAAGTTCAATTCTTGAATTTATTAAATTTCCCTCTCTTCTTTTCTCCTTGACTAATGATTTTGCTTCCCATTCACCAGTTAGATAATAATCAAGTAGTTCTTCATGAATACCACTATCTATTACTTTAATGAACGGTCTGATTTTATTATGAAAATCCTTTGAAGAAATCTCGCCAAATCTGATTAATGGTATGATATCAATTATCCAATTCCTTAATATATTGAATTCAGAATCTTGCCATTCAGTAAAATATTTTCGTAGTTCAACACTTTGGCTAATTCCCCAACGAAGAACAAAATCCCAAACCATTATTTCTTGTAAATGTAAATCATCTCGCTTTATCACTGATATAAGTAATGATTTTTTGATAGTTATGAAATCGTCAGATTCGAAAAATAATTCAGGACTATTGGAGATTAGTTCATTACAATATTCTTGAAGTATAATGTACTGATCATATTTTGACAAAAGCTTGTATATATAAACTAGATTTTCTTGGATCCATTCTTTGTGTTTGTTGATTAAATGTATCTGTAAATCATCAAATAATTCAAAAAAATTTAATTCATCGCATGCTTCAAGAAGTTTGAAAATTTCATTTGGATTGATATTATCTATTTCAAGAATTCCGCTATAAATATATCTTTTTCAAATATATATATATATATATATTTAATTACCAAGTAAATTTAGATGAACAATTATTGAATAACTTACTTTAAGATGATATCAAATATTTTTGGAAATATGTTTTCTTTTCAAATAAAATGATTCCATTATCTGATTTTTTGATCCAGTCATTTGATAGAGCAGCATTAAAATAAGAGGATCTTGCTTTTAAAATAATAGAATGAGCCTTAAAAATTACTAGATCCTGGTCCATTCCAATCCTGATTTCCACATCATAAGAATCCGAGGTTTCAAAAAAAAGAGCAAAATCATTTACCAGTTTGCTAACAAATTTTATATGTAAAGCATCTTTCTCGGCGTCTACAAATTTATTGAACAATTTATTAAAACTTTCTATTGAAGAAAAGATATTGAGCATTTTTATAAATTATATATACAGTCCCTTGAAAAAAGTATCGCTTCACCTGATGATCGACGAAAATAATTGGATAACTTCTGTGATATA